GTTGGCTCAATAGGTGAGTAAGATACTCATTTACTATGAAAATGAATAGGTTAATGTCTGGAGGTATATTCCACTGAGGAGGCACAGCTGTAGGAATCTGCAGAAGCCCTCCTTGTGCAGATCTGATCTCCATGATTATTATTACAAAGTGGTACATTGCATATCTACTGATACTCCTGTTGTCCTCAAGAATCTCATTACATAAGGCACACTCTCATTTCAGGCCTGCCAGGCTCTGCCAATTGTTTATCTTAAAACAATGTTGGCATTCCTCTTAAATTCTCCTAAAGGTCAAGTAAACGTCTCTTTACAAAGTGTGCGCTTTTAACAGAACGCACAGCGCAGTGGATGCCAAGGCTAAATGTAGTCTGTGACAGATTTACGAGCGCTCAGCCTTTAAGGGTGGCACTGAAGAGCAGGAGTACCTGCTCGGCTTTCATGGACTGCAGGATGCACAGGAAGCTGTGCAGTGCTGCAGTTACAGACACACGCTCCCTCAGGATGTGGGTCTATGGAGACTCCTGTCTGATCAGCTAGCTTCTGAAGTACGTTCTCTAAAACAACCACCCCCTTCCTGCCCCCTACCAGTGTTGTTCACTCAACATGATTTCAATGCGCTCCGCTGTTGATTGCTGGTGCTCCTGTTCCTGAGGAGGAACTGTCAACAAATGCTGGGTCTTTTTATTGTGCATTGTGTTCCTTCCCCGTCAAATCAGGCTTCTGTACATTATCTCACTGTCTTTCGTCGCCGGGCCTCCTGGTTTTTATGATTCGTGCCTCGCCGAGACCTTGGCTTCTGTGAGCTGAAGGCATCCACCCTGTGTCATCCCTCTACCACCCAGCAAGGGCAGCAACAACAACCTGTTGGTCACACAACCTGCCGTTTGCCCATTTCACTGGAACAGAACAGCACTCATGCCCGTGGGGATACTTTCACATAACCCATATTGATCTTCATAAAAGATGCATGTTCTGTATATACAGATGAGAACGAGTTTAGGTTCCCAAGGTCAGCTAACATCCAGCACCCTGGAGTAGTTCTGAGTTTGACCCAATGGTGATATGATTACGCTGCTGGCCATGGGATTCAAACCTATGACCTACTGGGCATTGTTCCCTGAGCTACCCACCTACCCCGTAGATTATTTAACATATAGAGTTGAGTAACTGCTAAAGCTTTTAAAGTTAAGTACCACGTCCTAAGGTAGCCCAGAAGGGTCTGTTTGAGGCTTAAACCTAAACTTTTTGCTCAAATTCCTGATTCTCAAACTCTAAAATGATACCTGCTTTTGAAATGGTGAATATTGGAACCTATAATACGCAAAGTTTAATTTGATGACACTAAACCGATAAACCACAAAAAAAAAAATAGCTAATGATAGCCGCTAACCACTAACTTTTATTATACTGTATTAATTTAGCTTTGTCTTGGTTTTTGGCTCTGAAAGCCTTAAAAACATTCCTACAGAGATCTAAGATTCTAACCTGTTTATAGTCCCATTTGTCCAACTGCAGTGATCACCTGGGGACATTTAGGACCCAGCTGGCTATTGTTGGATTCTGTAGAGTCTCTGGAACAAATATACATTGAAATTAGTTTTCGTATGAAATTCCGTTTGTGAATTTTGCCACTTGGGGACTACAAACATGGTACCGTTTGCCTGAAACTAGAAAGGAAGGTCTCAGCTTTTTATTTTTATTCTTTATCCCAGTTTAAATGGCCTTTTTCTTTGTCCACTTATATTTAGTCCAGTTTACCTTAAATCGGACTAGTATCAAATAATCAGATCACTGGATTCATGCTTTCTGACAGCAGAAATACTAAGAGGCCCCAAAACCAATGTAGCTGTGGCCCCTTGCAGGATGTCCCCGCCCTCCTGCACCCAGCGGGGGCCCCCAGCACAGCCGGACCTCTGCATCAATAGGACCATTCAGGAAGGGCACCAGCCCCCCCCGAGCCACGACCCACACGCCCGTGTTTTTACCCAGACACGTGCACGTGCCTGTGCACGGAGGCGCTGGCCGGTCCTGAACCGCGCCGTCCTCGGACATGGCAGGCGAACTGGCTGTTAACCGCAAACACATGCCGTCCCTCATCTCTGTGATTGTTTACACCACGGTCTCAGGGAAAGATTACGATTCTGATTCACGGCAGACGCAGTACCATCAGATCACACGGAGAGGCATGACCATTAACACATAAAAGGGTTCCCTCAGTATCTCAGTCTTAATTTTAAGTCATTATTCTTAATCTCACAGAATTTCTTTGTTTTTCAATGATAATAAAGATGTCATGCTTTATGTCTTATTCGGTAACTTTTTACATTAACTGCACCTTCATAATGTTTTCATTATGCATTCATAAGCAGCATGTAAATATTCCTTAATATGTCTTAAAGCTTTGCATTCATAATACATTCAATGAACAAGATGTGACAGCTGTAATATACTTTAATAACAAGCATTATCAGTGTATAATCGATTGATGTTTGTTATTCATATTAAGCTGTTAAGGTATGTTATGATGTTAAGGTATACTTACATGCTGCTTATGAATGTTCTATGAATGCATTATAAAGGCGTTATGAAGGTGCAGTTAATGTGGAGTGTTATCATTTATTTTGATCAATGAGTAAACGAGTTGCATATCCACACGCTAACACAGAACCCCAGTTATCTTGCTTGTTTGCTAACGTATTTCCACCCCCACTGCCACATTTGCCTTAGACATCGAGAGGCTGGTGATTTTCTGCATGACCCCCGCATATAGACACTAACACTGCATCATCCATCAGTCTTTCATGCATATGTCTGTCACTTAAAGCCCTGCCCATTCCCCCAGAATCCCCTCCCACCCCGGGGAAGATGGCCTGGCCTGGAAACCACGCCCTGCCCCCTTCTCAGCAAAGGAGAGTCACTTCAGAAACAATAGGCATTGTTTGTCCCTGCAGTCTGGGAATCAGTAACACAGCATTGTTATGGAGGGACACAGACAAGAAAAAGGAGGGAAAAAAACGAGGGAAAGAGGGCTGTGACAGAGAGACGATGCATGCCATTGTTCTAAAAGCAACACATTTTTCCCTGTTCAAAGTCCCTCAAAGTGGTCCGTGGGAACACACAACACAATGCTTGTATCTGAAGGGGAGACTGAGTGTCACACTGCATTTTGGGACACAGAGGAGATGGATCTCCGGAGCTAATTAAGCCTGGAATTTTAATAACTCTCAGAATCTGTCCTGACTTTCCCCTTTCACACACTGCTAAAGGGGAGACAGACAAACAAGCCAGGAACAAGTTATGCTCGAAAACCCCCGGCCAAATGCAATCCACGCTTCTAAACCGACGATCGAAAGTGAAACAGAGGCTGCTTACATCAGAAATTACACAGTTCCTAGGCCCATCAAGGGAAGAATAATCTCCGCCACCCCCCCTCCCACCGCTCTCTCACACCCTCCTATTTGTGAGCTGCATCCCTGTTTAGGATAATGACCTTATTCCAGTAAAAAGTTCTGAAAGATTATGAGGTAAAGAAAGCAAGAGAGAGAGAAAGAGAGAGTGGAAAAAGAGAGAATGAGAGGGCAGGACGCCGTGTTTTCCATCCAGTCAAATCTCAGTGAACACACAAAACACCTCTCTAAATCCCCTTTTCATTCTTTCCATCATTCTTTCTCTGTACCAGTTATGCACATCCATGTTTATAAATGGTGCAAAGGCGACATTAAAAAAATATCTACAGATGTTTGACACAAACCCACTACCAGTAGCCCACAGTGCACTTGAAATATCGGCAAGGGGCGTCACCTCGCCTGTCTCGGCTGTTAAGTGAGGAGTATCGATATTGAGGGTCGCCAGCTTTAGTCAGCTGGCTGGCGTGAGATTTTCAATTTGAGACAAGTCTGCGCACACACGCACACGCATTTACATATATGTGACAGTTATATTACCTTGTAAATAGTCTGCAGGGTTTGCAAACTATCCCAAAGCTTTTCATGTAGCTAATTTTAGGTTTGCAATAGAATAACACAAGATTTCGTGCATGATCGTGAAAGTCGGAAAGCGTGAGTGTCACGCGAGAAGTGTGACAGCTGGCGACGAATGGATGCTGCGTCTGCGAGGTCCGTATTTCTCGCTTCAGGTTAATGTCATGCAGCTGAGGTTAACTGTCGGCACGCTGAGACCTACTTAGAGGGGTCAAGGGTCATTTGCCGTGGGACTGTTTACCCCAATCTGGAGTGTCAGTCTGACAGGCAAGAAGAGGCAGCCCTGGAGTGACAGGGAATTACAGCTGATGAAGGAGCAGACACAAGCAGCAGGAACGCGCATGAGACCAACACATGTCTGAAAGTAGAATATTGCAGAGGGATGCTGTTGGGGAGCCTTTGATCTGTGACTGTTTAAACGAGAAAGGTTTACCTGTCTCCAGCTTTAGCTAAAGACATTTTATTCACTCGTTTGGAGTTATTTCCTCCTGCAGAGCTGGAATTAAACACTGGGTGGCGCGTTTTCTGTAAAATTATTTTAAAGTTTCTTTTCAAATCTATATTATCTGACGAATTTATTAGACTAATACTATTTATTATACCAATACATGAAATAAAATGCATTTTTAAATAAATTATTAAAAAGTTTACTGATGCCAAGTACAGCTGCTTTTACAAGAAATAATCGCCAATAAGTGAATCCGCGCGGAGAAATGAATTTGTATTATTTAACACCCCCAGTAAGACCGAATCAATTATGTAATTAAATCCACTGGATCACTAAATGTGACGTAACTGACAAAGCAATGTTACATTTTAATTTTGTGAAAATCAGCATAACTTGGAAAAGAACAAGCCACCTGCATTCCAATCAAACGCAATGGTAAACGTTTCTGTGTAGAAATGGAGATGACAGTTAGTTAAATGGGATCTCTTTTTTTTTTTGCAGCTATCTTGCGCTAAATAAAACTGGAGCTCAACTGACACAAAAGTGCGACACTGTATCCACTACAGATGACATAAGCGGCCTCGAAGGAAACGGAGCCCTCGAAGCACCTGATGCATTGTTTTTAAGCTGTTTACAACAACGTGGTACATCTGGATGCCTTTTCCTACGCCGACTTGACCTGCTTTTTTTGTTTTTGCAAGAATCCTAGCGTGCAAACTCTCATCTAACAGCCCGCGAGTGTGATTTGTAGGAATGTGCCTTTAAGTCGCAGGAAAAAAAACATGAACCGAGATGGGGCGGAGTCGCGATGCCCTGTCACTCTTTCAATATTGCTCAGATGTATATCTCCAGGCAAAAGTTAGCGATTGAAGTGCGAGGGAGCAGATTGCGGCGGAGGAGACGAGCGCTGGAGCGCCAGCGTCCGGCTTACGGAGAAGCGCTCGCCCCCGACCGAGGGGACGGACTTTGCTTCAGTCGTTGCTTGAAATATCTAGACCGTCGCATTTGTCAAGGAGTGGATTTTCCGCATTTAATTATTGCTCGAGGTCACTAGCATTGCGTGGGGGGATCTGCTTGGTTGGAAGAGTTTCATCTGGATCTGCCCCGCACATAAAAGCCTGCCGCCACATGTTATTAAAAGGATTAATATTTTTGATCTGATCTAAAAAAAAGATCTTAGGAATACTTCAGAATCCCAAAAACTTGGTCTCCCATGTGGAATAGGGCAACGCTGCAGGGGATGAGCTGGTCGGCGTTACTTGCCCTGCTTCTCTGGGGGCTGCAGTCTCTGTCCGCAGGTAGGTACCTCCCGAGTCTCACTATTTAATCGCAGGATAGAAAGTACAGATGAGCTCAGCCTATGCAGACAATAGCGGTTCGGATGCCCCCTGCTTGTCGCTGTTAAGGCTTATAATTACCGAGCGGCGTTTTGTTGCTGTAAAAAGGTGTGGGCCATTATCAAACTCGGGCTTTTAAATAAGTACCATAAAGTCTCGGCGCATGTGCTTTGACAGCGCGGTGGATGCGGATCTTGTTGCGTTTATTTTTAAGGAGATGCCTGGAGGTACAGAGGCGCCAGATAAAACCAGTGTGAGGGGGGTAACCTCCACGATTTAAGTTCTCGTATGTGTTTTTAAACATTTCAGATTGAAAACCATCTATATTTCGCACAAGCAGAATAATAATAATCATTCCAGGCATCTTGCAGGGTGGGAGTGGTGTTATTTACATGCGTGTTGTGAGTTTGTCTCCAGGGGGCCAAAAAATGTAAGGGTAACGCACGGGGAAATATACAAATCACTGAATACAGATTTCGAAATTTAGGTACATCACGCGGGTACAGAAAACGGATGGATTTATGGATGGATGGACTAATGGATGGATGGATGGATGAAGTTTACAGACACCCGGCGCTTCGTCTCGCTAACCGAAATGAAAAAAAAACAGCACAGTTATTCAATTATATAACAAATTTAGAATTACATTGTGCGCTGATTTTGGCCTTCAGTGAGCCCCAGCTTACATGAGGCATGGTAATGCTTGCGAAGTACTTAATAAAGCCTCTTTAAATACCGTCAACACCTTTGCAATATCAGTCTTAAAATGTATCACAGGGGGAAATTATACACGATGTTAGTAGAAACCCATATGAGACGCGCCGTCGGTTCTCCCGCCTCGCTGCATTCCGCGTTTGAGCGGCAAGATTTATCTGAAGCGATCGAGGTGGACGTCCTTCCAGACATGTCTTTCTATTTATCATTTATCACCACATCAAACAGCCGTGTTGCTCAATAAATTTATAAAGGAATGCTTCAGAACCCCAACGACACATTCATCCATCCGTAATCCTTAATAACTAACTATAACAGTTGTCGTGATCTGGATCCTATTCAGAGAAGCATGCTGCGTAACTTTATTATTTTGATCTAAGAAGAAAGATTTATTGTCCTATTTGACGGGGGATTCCGTTCTGGAGGAAGCCATACTCGGGCCCTCATAGCTGCTATTCAGTTAAGCTCTAACTCAGTGGAGACCCCCCCCCCCTTGTCCCCCTCGGTTCTCAGATCTCAGCAGACTGGCGGCAGGTTCTGGAGTCGGGACCCAGTGCGAGAGCCAGGCCTGTAACCCGCCCATGGGAAACCTGGCACTGGGCCGGCGAATACAGACACGGACCGTCTGCGGTTCTAACTATACGGAGTCGTTCTGCTCTTACACGGGTCCTGCGGCGGCCGTGGGGTCCTGCCCCCCGCTCAAATGCGACAAGTGCAGCTCGGCGAACCCCCAGCACGCCCACCCGGCCTCCGCCATGGTGGACTCCTCCTTCCGTCACCCAGACACGTGGTGGCAGTCGGCGGAGGGGGTCAGCGACGAATTCGTCCAGCTGGACCTGGATACAAAGTTCTACCTCACGCACCTTATCGTGGTGTTCCGCTCGGTCCGGCCCGCCGCCATGGTGCTGGAGCGGTCGCAGGACTTTACGCGCAGCTGGACCACCCTCGCCTACTTCGCCGGGAACTGCACGGAAGCTTTTGAGCTGGAGGACAGAGCCCTGAAGCCGGATGAGGTGGAGTGCACCTCCAAATACTCGGCTCCATTCCCCTGCACGAGGGGAGAGGTAAGTGGATGGATGGATGGATGGATACTTCTGAGGCAGGGCCTCATGTGTGTGGCTCAGTGGGTTAAGCCTCGGTAGGTTGCCGGTTCAAGCCCAGTTTCAGCAGAATAGTTACATCTGTGGGCCGCTTATAATCCCCAGCTCCATGGGCACCACTGCAGGTGGCCGCCCTTCACTGCCAAGTTCGCTGTCAAAGAGAATTTCCCCATGGCGATCAATAAATGGTCATTATAAGGGGAAGACATTCAGGGGTTCAGACACTAGGGGGAGCCCGTGAGTAAGTTCATTGGGTAGAATTTTTTAGGGACCTAGTCAGATCTTTGTGTAGCTGTGCTCAGGGGTGGTTATGGATGCTTAAGGTTGGTGGAGATGAAGGATTAGGGTTGATGGAGAAGCTGTGTTGTGGAGATCCGGGACACTTTGTGAATCTAGCGTTTTCTTTTGGAGGGGGGGGGGGGTTTGACAGATTATGAGCTAACCTTGTGCATCATTTGAATCACCGATGGGTGAACTCTCGATGGTAAACCCAAAGATCACCCAAAAAAACGTTTTACACCATAGGGGGTGCTGAGGAGACGTTAGCCAAATCGAACTCCATGCAGCACCTTTGGAAACAGCAGCCCCTCACCCTCTCTGAGGCAAGACGCAGGAAGAAAGCGCGTAACGCAGGCCGCTGGTGTATGCCAGCATCGCCCCCTGGAGGTGTGGATGTTTGGAATGAGGTGACGCTATGGGTCTCCATGGCGATGGAGGAGGAAAACATCACTGCGGATTGTTTTTTCGGAAATGCGCTTGAGGCCCATATCTCAGTCTCCCATTTCAAACCATTTCAGGGGTAGGATTACCTCTAAGTGACCGCAGTTTTGTACTGGATGCGCAGTTATAGAAGATGAGTGGGTGGATTGATTACCTTTAAATGGTGATGTGTTTAGAGCGAGCTGAAGGGGTTGGCTTTTATCTGTAGAAAGGGACATTGACATGCGGCCTAAGGAATATTGGCAAAGTCATGTCATGTAGATGATCAGTCAGAATTTCATTGACCCAGACTATCCTTAGCGCAGTATGATTTATAGTGCAAAGTAGTTATGCTTAAGCACTAGTCATCCTTAAGTGCTTGCCATTAAATAGATATATATAAATTTGAACCAGCTGTCAGGAACTGCTGTTGGATTACGAGGCAGCTCTACCTCTGTGCGTAGAGCTTGAGACTGTGTGAGCTCTACAGAGCAGCCCTGCTATTGGCTGGTGCCATGTGTAAATGTTTACAAAGCAACATATAAATATGTGTTTTTAAGTGTGTTTGGACTTAAAGACATCTAAGAAAGAAATAGTAGATTTTTAAGCTTTATTATTATTATTATTATTATTTTATGACAGAGTCATATCTTGCTGAGGGATTCAGAGACAGAAGCACAGAGATTTGTTAGCAAATGTTTTGAAGAGGGTTGTGAGTTCTGGCACGGTGTCGTTGTGCTGTGAGAGGGACCCCCTTGCTACTCTATGAAGATTTATCCATTTCACTTCCAGTCTGGCCCGTGCACATGAATCGACCCACGTAATGTAACAGCAGCCTGAGAAAGACTGTTTACGATGGTTTTGTTGATATGCAAATGTGGCACTAAACTTCTGCTGTTGCCATCCTGAGGTCCGTTTTTATTTTTTGTCAGGTGGGGCTGCCTGTAGTTTCACCATTTGGTGGGAGAGTGACATTTTAAAGCTTCCTTAATTTACAAGCCGTTTATCATCCTGCTGAATTTTTTTACGACCCTCAAAAGCTGTAATTCTCTCTGGCACCCAGGCCTCCTGCAGCGAAGGGGGTTAGTGGGGGTGAGTATGGGTGCGCCCTCCCCCCCCCCCCCCCCCGCCCCGTTCTTTATTAAGCTCCCTCTGTGATGCCCAGGACACAGAGGGAGGGAGGTCTCAGATGTGGTTGACCGAGAAGAAATGATTTACTTGCCTTTGCTCCTCTTTAAAGCAAAGATTTATACCTGTATCTCATGAAACACTTTTTTATCTCAGCACATAAACTGGCCAAACAGCCTGCTGGTCATTTTACGCTTTACTCTCTCTGTGATCATTAATCATGAACCATAGTGGTGGGGAAAGACCCGCGGTCAAATAGCGCCTCCTGCAGGTGAGCTCCAAGGGTTGTTGAGATCCCATTCACGTCCGCGTGCTGGGCATACCTGCCACCCCCCTGCCTCTCTCTGTGCTGTGTAATGCCGGGTGCGGCTTGGAGTGATGTACGCCACTGGTATTTAGGGTTCGCAGGGCCGGGGGGGGGGGGGGGGGGGGGGTGTGACATTTAAAACATGTCACCTCATGTGCTGAAAGCCAAACGCATTCCACTGAAAAGCGTGTGTCGATGAAGACAGCAGCTCCACTGCGGAATGGATAAGAGCAGCGGGGGCGTCTGGATGCGGGAATTCTGAGCGTTTTTGCCACCTTGGCTTCCTGTGAAATGTGTCAGTGTTTAATTGTCTCTGACTATATTTTTAAATATATAGCCATACTGTTGTCACCCCAGTTATGCCAAATAATTTATTCATGATTTGTTCTTGCTTGGCCGTTGGATTTGGGTCCTAAAAGCCCCCTTCCCAGAAACCCCCACCCCCCCCCCCCCCCCCCCCCCCCACACACACACACACACACACACACACACACACACATACACACACACACACTCTGGGATGGTCTTTGTTTTTTACAAGATTATAGTAAATTTATTCACGGATAACTAGTATGACTAGTGACTTGTGTACAAAGTGTATGATCTGCCTCTCTGCAGAAACGGAGCTCAATATAAGTGTTGAAACTTTTGAAATTCTGACACTGGAGCATTTTTGCTATGATTTGCTTAGACAACAATCCTCACATGCCGCCCCCCAGCCCTGGTGCTCTTTGTTCCCCGCAGAGTTGTGTTGAGCTGGATCTCTCACATGCCCTTTTGTCTTGTGAGTTTTCTCAAGTATCTCCTTGCCCCATGGTCTGCTTGTGAGGTCCCCGTAATTGTGGAGTGCGATACTGCAACCTCGTGACCCCTCCAGGCAGCGGCTTCGGCGAATTGAGAGTGTCGTCTCCTTAACACCGGGCCGGTGAATGAAGAAGCAGCCAGCGACGCCGCCTCGAGCTGGAATACCATGCCATTCTTGGCGAAGGGAGACTGCCACGCCCTCCTTGAAGTGGTGAAATTCACCATTGCTGGCTGAGGGTGGTGAACGATACCCTGAAAGTGGGATGTTAAGGGTTTTATGCAGCACTTCTGCATCATGACTGCTGCATCTGTTCCAGTTACAATGATGATGATGAGAGACAGCAGTAGGGTGTCAACGGAGGAAAGAAGGATGACAGTAACGTCTGGTGGAAATCGCTTTGCAAATAGCAGTAGCCAGAGCAGGAACATAAGCAGCCAGAGCAGAAATAGGAGCCGCAGGATCAGGAATAGGGAGTCAAGACAAGTCAAGTCACTTCTTATGGGGATTTCAACCATATACATTTGGTACAGTGCACAGTGAAACCAGCACCATGGTGCTACATAAAACAACACAGGACTACAAAGCTGCACAGGAGCAGGAATGGAAGCAGCAGGAGAAGTAATAGGAGCAGCAGGAGCGGAATAGGAGCAGCAGGAGCGGAATAGGAGCAGCAGGAGGAGCAGGAATAGGAGCAGCAGGAGCGGAATAGGAGCAGCAGGAGAGGAATAGGAGCAGCAGGAGTGGAATAGGAGCAGCAGGAGGAGCAGGAATAGGAGCAGCTGTAGCAGGAATAGAAGCGGCCATCTCTGGCTGCTGAGGAAGGCGTCTCGCCCCAGGGCTTGGGTTTCTATTTGCTCTCACGGTAGCTTTCAAGGCAAACCGAGAAAACTTGGTGCTTCGCCAGACCTGAAATAGAGAGGGGGGGGGGGGGGAGTCCACATGAGGAGTAGATGACAAGCCTTAGAATAGAATGGAGAATGAGCAGGTTTGTGAAATCCCTCATCCTGGGGTGGGGCCGAGTGCTGGGGCGGGTGTTAGACCTGGAGATTTAACCCCCCTGTGCCCCCTGTTGGTGTCTGAGAGGTGAGGCTTTCAGGGCTGGGAGACCTGGCACAGGAAGGGAAATTCGGAAATAAGCCTTATACAGGGATGTAAAGGGTTAGGGTTAGGGTTAGGACACATGCCAGAAGAGCACCCGCAAGCACATGAGAGACTGCGTGGCTGGTCAGATTCTCTGGGCACTCTCCAAACCAAGGGCAGCACCTGGGGGCTCCTGTTTGGCCCGGGATGTCCATCTGGCTGCCATTGACCCTCCCTCTCTGTCTGCCCTCAGGTGATTTACCGTGCCATGCCGCCCTGGAACTCCCTGGACCCCTACAGCGAGAAGGCTCAGCATAAACTGCTTGTCACCAACCTTCGGCTGCGACTCCTGCTGGGCCAGGAATGTCCCTGCGGGGCGAAGGAGCTTGCTCCCGGTCCCCGGCCTATGGGCCACTTCGCCATCTACGACTTCATCGCCAAGGGCAGCTGCTTTTGTAACGGGCATGCTGAGCACTGTGGCCCCGCCCCCGGCTACCAGCCCCTTCGGGAAAGGACCAACCACGTGGTGAGCGACGGGCGACTCTATCCAAAACCCCCTCTGCTCCTCTAGATGGGGCTCTTTTAAGAACTCCAAGGTTCAGGTTCGGCTAAACGTTCAGCAGGGCCATCCTGTTAGGTAAAAAGTTAAAAGGTTAAAGCGGCAGTTCACCCCAAAACTGAAAAAAAGATATGTTTTACATGGCTTTGGTCATATCTATCCATCTAGGTTGTTCTGCTGGGAACTGTCTAGTTAGAAATATCAGTGTTCTCTCTTGATCTAGAACCCTGGCGATATGTTCTGCGCAGCGATACAATTGGTGTGTGGAGTTCTGTAGAAGAAAATAGTTCCTACATTAAACTGCTCACCAAAAATTCTGTGGATTATCTTGAGTAACCCGGTCATTATTTCCAGTAAGAGACATTGCTGTTCAATTTTTCAAATATATTTTTTGGGAGTTTTAATCAGCACAGAAAGAATGCCATTCAGTCTCATTATGTTTGAGAGAAGACAACCAGGCAACTCCCAGAAGAGCAACCTAGATGGATAGACAGTACTAAAGCCCCTGTAAAACATATCATTGTTCAATTTTGGGGTCAACTCCCCCTTTGACATAGCCAGAAGATCATCTCACTAATGCAGCCCTGACAAGCAAATGGCCTTTTTAACTTGGAGAGCTCACAGGAATAAACATCCATTGTTGCTGGGCTGAGTCTCATCTTCTGCCGTCTTTGCTGCCGTTCTCGGTTTGTCCACTTCTGCATCCCTACCGTCCCGAGGTCGGGTCAGCCTGAGCTCAGGCCAGGCAGCTGAACACATGGAAATACTGAACATGTGTAAGTGCCAAAGCGTGCGCTGTGCCTTGGGGCCACGAGGGAAGCGGCGCTGTTTACAGCCACACAAACCACACACTACCCCCTATTGGCCACAAACAGTCACTACACTGTGCGGGTGTGTGGCATTGAAGTAACTTTTTAACAACCAAACCACCTTTGCATAATGTTGAGTGTGTGTGTGTGTGTCCCTTTCCCTCCTGTGGTTTCCTGTGTCACCATGACTCCCTGCGTGCCATTTCATGTCACCTTCCTTCCACAGAAGGATACCCATCTTGTGAGAAAATACCCATGGATGATAAAAACGATGAATATCCGTTTGGCAGATGATGACCTGAGATGAAATTTTATTCATAGAGATCACAGTGAATGTTAAGCGCAGGGCAGGACACTGGCTGGCACGATGCGACCAATCAAGCTCGAGGTTTCACTTTCCAGCAGTGTCCGTGGACACAGACAATGGGAGGTGCCATGTGTGTGTGTGTGTGTTTCCTTGCTGCCATTTGTTTGGTTTGCTTGACCATGTGTATTTTTTCCCACTTCCGATCGGATAAACCAAGCATGTGAATGTCCGTTTTGTCTACAGCCTTTAATCTTGGCTAGACTTGAGGGGAGCCCGTTAGGCAGGATGCAGCCAGATCTGGAAGGATTCAGCGAAAGGCACGGGGAGGGCGGCAGGCAATCTCAGGATGGTCAGCGGTGGCTGAATTTACTTAGACTAAGTGCAGCCCTTGGTCAGCATACGCCATCCTGCTCTCCTTCAGGTTAACATGTCATATTTCAGTTCAGGAGCCCTTCTCATCTGCTCGGACATACAGATATTACCCCCCACTCTTGTCCTATTCAGGGTTACGGGGGAAACAGAGCCTGTGGGCACAAGGCAGGAAACAACCCAGGATTGGGCTCCGACCCGCTCACACACCATTCACTCACACATGCAGACAATTTGGTAACTCCAGTTAACCTCAGCATTTTTTTGGTCTGTGGGGGGAAACTTGATGACATGCAAACTCTAAACACATGGAGCCATAATGGAGACTTAATCTGGGTCCCAGTAGTATGAGGCAACAGTGCTAACCACTGCACCACCATGACTGCCAGTAAATGACACCCCTCCTCTGTGAAATGACCAGACAGAGGTGTTATAAACACGTATTAGACAAGAGCATCTGGCTCTGTTTGTAAACCTGGGATTATTGTTTTTATGTGTGTGTGTGTGTGTGTGTGTGTTTGCGTGTGTGTGTTTGCGTGTGTGCAAGTATTTTCTTTCACCCCAGATTTGCAATACATTTGAAACCCAAACACCGAAATCACAACAGAGATGGACTCAGAGATTAAACATCCTAGACATGACATACAAGGAAACGTTCTGGAAATGAGGCCCAGCGAATAAAAACCTAATTAGCTGGCTGTGAAGCTGTGGCCAGCTCTGAAGTGTTTATAACACACGCCCTCGTTTGTCGTTTGTTTTGCAGCGAGTGCAATTAAACCACAAAACGTTTTCATTTCACCTTGTTTCTGGAATGAAACATGTTACTTCAAAGGGGCATGCTGTGTATAAAATTACGACAGGAAATCCAGGCGTGCGGATTACTTTTCCGCTGAACTCCCTCCGGTTCTGCTTGATGGATTTCTGTTTAACTTGGCATCAGAGCAGAACACGGCAAATTGTTTTTCTGCTCCGATACTGATCACAGGAGAGCATGACGGGAAACGATAGTGGTGGCGTCACTCTGGGCTCTTCGTGTCATGGTGGCGACAGAAACTATCATTACGCCGGCCCTGTCTGAGAGACAAGCGTCAAGAAGCCTTTCCCCACCATCATATTGCTACAGTAGCACTCGCGGCAATTACGCTCAGCTACGTGGTAATTAAGGGAACCGTAAACAGACGGATAATTTGCGATCAGACCGCTACTGTGTAAAGTTGTCTATCGCCTGTTTGCGTGTAAGCTGACACACACGTTTGTGGTAATGAGGTTTTCCACCTTCCCACTCACAGCTGGCAGGGATTTAGCACTAAAATAATACCTCAAACTCCCCGCCCCCAGTGGTCACATGACTCGGGGCACCTCCCACAAAAACCCAATGATAAGCACTGTGGCCTGTGAACCCTTTAATCCACTGTACTGCTCTCAGTCCCTCCATGGGAAGAGTGGAAATCAGGAAGTACTACCCAGTGCAGCCCCCTCGCAGGTCACATGACCCCGCTGCTGCTCACAACTGTGGTGAACCCACCATATGGAGGCCCTCAGTCATTCTCTGGCCGTCTCTCGCTGTTTTTCTGGCTCTCTAACCATTTTGTGTGGCTTGACCTCTTTTACACACTCCTCCGTCATTATCGCTTCTCTGAGGGCCCTTAACAAGAAGTATAAACAAAAACATCTGACCTCCACTGTCCGTGTAGAGAGCAGAGTTACCAGTGCAGGTTGTAACACTACTTGTTCAGCGTGGTCGAGGCATCTAATGAAGTTCAGTTTTTGTTTTGAAACGATGTTACAGCAAATGTGGACCTCCTTTTTCTGGCTTGAGTCCCGACCTTGTGTTTTGGACCAGAGGCAGGCCTTAACCACCACATCCTTCATGCCAGGCATGTGTATCTGCGAGGAAGGTTCCGGCTGGCGGGCGACCCTCAGCCATCGCTCCCCGTATGGCCTCATTTGACGAGATGGCGACTGTCCGCATTGGCTTATGCCCCCTGGTCCAGTTTCTGTGGCCAGTGATGAGATTAGCTGTCCCTCTTTGCTGATTTGTGGGTTGGGACGCCCCCCAATCTGTCCGCTTCCCAATTTAGAAGGCTTAGAATTTGCTTTGTTTTGAATTTGCCAACAGGGGGCACTTCCCAGGTCTGAGCAGAAGCTTTTCCGGAAGGTCTTTCAGAGACAGAGGAAGACTGTCTCCGTGCCTTAGTCTCACTTTTGGCTTGAGGAATGTTGCAGGTTGACTTGCATGGTCCAGTTTCTGCACCTACTGTAAAGTGAAATCTCTCCGCAGCTTCAGCTCTGCGGGAGCACAGAGACCAGTTGCCAGTTAAAGGCATTTCGTTGACATCACTGTTGACATCAAAACTGCAGGCACAGGGAATTAAACCATGTTTTACCCTCCATTGCAGGAATTACTGTAATTGTAGCATGTGGCTAAGTCTGTAAAACCTACTACAATTAGCCTGTCTGTTCTTGCGCAAGCATGGTGTTTGGTGGGGGGGGCGGCGGGCATGGGAATATTAAACTTTTGTTTTTCATTTGTTCTATATTATGTATGTTCTATATAATGTACAAAAGCAGGCTGATCTGCAGCAAGCTAGTTTTGTTCTGGCTGGGTCAGTTAGATAAAGCTGCTACAATTTTAGTGGAATAGCTTCAGGTTTAACAGGGGAAAAAGTACTAAATAACTATCAGTAATATCTCCCTCAGTGTTGTCAGAGAAACAGGCAAGGTGCTGTGTCACCAAACACTAGTAAAGATCTCTTACATCCCAAAAACAGAAAATCTGTTGGCGGATCTAGTTCCGCTTTGGCCGTTTTAGTAACTTGATGGATTCGCAGACGCTGGGTAGAAGCCGCCTTTAATGCTAATGTGCAGATATGATGAGGATAATAAAAGGAGCATTTGTAAGGTGTAATGTTATATTTGAGAAGCAGTAAATACTCTTTTGAAAGGCACTCCCTCCTAGCTTGTCACACTATAATTAACACAGCATGAATTAACCGTTTTTTAAGTGCGGTAATAAAGCATGTGACTTGGCATGCATTCCCTAATTATAGGTTAACATTCCGGGATTAAGGTGATGTGTGTTTTCATACCTTCGTTGCAGTGTGCCGTGCTGCCTGTGCGTCGGGGGTCATTATGGGCTGTCCCGCCCATCCCCAAGGCACGCGTGTTGTTTTTGGATGTTCTGTTGCTGCTGAGCTGCTGTGCCCGCCCATCCTCGGTCATTCGGTCGGACTGTCGACCCCTGTTAAGGGGGGGGGGGGCAGGGTCTGAATGGACTGCGAGGGGAGGGCCTGCTGAGGGGGTCCGCTGGGTGTCTTTTCACATACGGATGCCCTCACTGGTGTGGGCATCTTTTGGAATGATATGTAGCAATGACATGCTGCTTCATCCCCTCCCCCTCTCTCTCCTCCTTTTCTTGCTCTCTTTCTCTCTCCTTCTCCCACTTTCTTTCCCTCTCTCCCCCCTTTCCTGCTCTCTCTCTCTTTCTCTCTCCTCCTCCCTCTTTCTTTCCCTCTCTCCTCCATTCTTTCTCTCTCGGCCTCTCTCTCCCCTCTCTCTCTATCCCTCACTCTCCTTCATTCTCTCCCTCCCTCTTTCCCCGTCTCCCTATCTCAGGTCCATGGTAAGTGCATCTGCAGGCACAACACTGCCGGGGATCACTGCCAGCGATGTGCCCCCCTGTACAATGACCAGCCATGGCAGCCTGCCAACGGGATCACGGGGGCACCCAAGGAGTGCAGGAGTGAGTAGTGCTGCTGTGATTGCGGTAGGGCTGGGGGGGCACCTATGCATTGAGACCCACGGCAAGAAGATGCACTTCTGTAAAGAAGTATGGTTGAAAAACCATTTCATATGTAGTAGGAATCAAAGTAATTAGGTTGCATGTAAATCAAGCTTTTTACACACTGGCTGTATGTGTGTGTGTGTGTGTACGTACTACCCCCCCCCCCCCAGAGTGTAAGTGCAACGGGCATGCGGCAGCCTGCCGCTTCTCCAGGACGGTGTGGCTGACCTCGGGCCGCCGCAGTGGGGGCGTCTGCATCGACTGCCAGCACAACACAGAGGGCCGCAACTGCCAGAGCTGCAAGAGCGGCTTCTACAGGGACCCCCAGAGGCCAGCATCAGCCCCCGACTCCTGCAAACGTAAGGGCGCCTCCCCCCCCCGGCCCCGCCCCATTGGCTCCGCCCCATCAGCTCCAGCTTCTCCCATCTGCATCAGAAGATATGAACTCATTCTGGGCCAGAAACCTTCCTCTAAAACATTTTTTTTATTTGATAATTTATAGTTATATTGAAACATCAGAAACGTGTTCGGATATATAAATACAGTTCCTGCTTCACAGAAGGTGAAATACCTGAGGTTCGGTGAGTTAGCCCAGTTATCTAGGGAATGACTTAGCATCCAGTGAAATTTCCCAGTTATCGTGCTGGTTCAGAGGTTATCCCAGAATAAGCTGTGGAGACTGATCGCTTATGCTACGTTCACACCGCGAGCGTCAAAGACGCCAGCCATCGCTCCCGCCGCCCTGAACGCGACGCTAGCCAGCGCCGGAGACGCTCTCTGATGTCATAGAGTGGGCGGGGACAAGGCCGCTCAGAATGCCAGGCTCTGAGAACTTTTTAAAGGGGTCGCAAAACAAACAAACGTGTAGCTTATATCTTTGCACCGACTCCTGGTAGGACATAATTTGTCAAATAAATATTGTTGTGAGCCAGTTATTTGCATTCCCACTTAAAATCAAGCGTTCTGGAGGGAAAATGTTACCTATAAATAGTGTAGCGCTTCTTTTCAAATTTACCTTGGATCACAATGGATGATCGCCAAGTAGTTGCTTGTGCTTTATGTTTCTTTAGTTAACATAAATAGTACTTAAAATGTTTCACGACAGTTCTACTAAAACACATAATTATGTTTTCACAAACACTAATGCTATAAATAGGTTTAACATTACCGACAATTTGCACTGTTTTCTCTGCTATGGCGCCAAAATTACTACTGATCTCCTTCCTTTTTCACAAAAATATATATTATGCACTTCACCATCTCACCTGGAACACCGATTGTTTCGGACACTCTGGTCCATGCCTCATTTTTTTTATTTATGTCCCTGTATGCAAACAGAGACACATCATATATAACTGGGTACCCGGCCACAGCAATAATAAGTCTCTCCTTCATTGTGCCTAGGAACGGTTGGGTCGGAACAAAAGTTTACACGCTTATGTTCTGCGGCACTCTCTTTAGCGGAGCACCTCTACATTCCCATTGGTTGCCGCCCAACCGCGTCACAACTCATTACCATAAAGTTGACTGGGATTCAACTTCTGTCTGACGCTCCCGCCGCCCAGATCGCGACGCACTGCGCCGCTCCTCGACGCCTCCCGGCGCTCCCTCCCATAGAGAATGGATGACTTCCGGTCGCTTTGACGCTCTCGCCGCTCGCAGTGTGAACGTAGCATTAGGGTGAGAAGGGTTTACGAGAGGCGTGGCTCGGCCATCGGAGGGCTGCGAGGGCAGGGGGGCGGCCCGCCACACTGGAATGCCGACACCCCGGGTGCGAGCTGGGACAAGCATTAGCTTCCAGTGGGCACCTGTCCGGGGGAGGGGGGCGGTATGGTGCCAGGCCAAGGAGGGGCTCTAAACAGGAAGGAACACCGCGGGTCTCGGCGGGCTGGGGAGGGTCCAGACAGGTGACCAAAAACCACAGACATTAAACAAGCTTTTTTAGGCCTTATTAAACACTTACGCAGTAAATGCGATGCCTCCCACCTGCTTTTGGACCATACCATTTAAGAGAAAAGGAAACCCTGTGCTGTCAGTAGGACAGATTGGACTGTACCACTTCAGATAAAAGGGAAACCTGTTCTGTCAGTAGGACAGGTTGGCTAGACCAGTGTGTCAAAGCAGAACCTAAAGACTCTCCTGTAAGTCATGTTTGCTTTTGGTGGTGTCCCTGACTGCTTTATTGCGTCTCTCAAGGGCTTGTTTTGGTTCTGGTCCTGGTTCTGGACGATTCCTGCTTGTTTACTAATGCAGACCAGTTTACACACCGAGGCCCCCAGCCGTACCCCTGGCGATGGATAATCCCCCTTTGAACATCCAGTCAGTCCTACTGAAACTTCAAGGGGGGGGGGTTGTAATCTGTTCAGTAACACTTTACTTGACAGGGCAGAAATTCAGTTACTAAATCATGAACAAATACAGTCGCTACTTGAGATAAAGGAGGCATCACAATTCATTAATGATGAATAAATATGAGATCAGTATTTAATGTTATTCGTGACTTCAGTAGTTCACAAAGGTTTACAGAATTAACAAATATAGTAACTGCTTGAGATAAAATATGCGTCTCGATTCATAAATGATGAACGAACATGAGATCAGTATGCAAGTAAGACTTATTTTGTGGTTAATTAGTACATAAGTAATAGCATAATACTACATTATTTGTGCTGTGTCAGGTAAAGTGTAGCTCAGCAGGTAGAGCAATGTACTAATGACACAAAAGTGATGGGTTTAAATGGGTTTAAAGGAAACACACATAAATTGCTTTTGATAAATGTGCTTAAAGTAGTGGGGGCGTGGGGGCTCTTTTAAAGGAAATTAATCATACTGTATCTTTCTGCCTACCGTTCTATGTTTATTCATTCAGAAAAAGCTAGATTACGCTCCTTACTCTCAAAGTTATAAGCAGTGCTTTACTCTGTTATTTTCACAGGTACTTTATCAGCAAACATATTGTAATGTTTAGGATCTTGTTCAAGTTCTGACCTTTCACTTATCGCCCATTAATATTGGTGCTTTTGGAAATTCCTGAAGGGAATCTGTTGTTCTTCCCTTATCAGATCCACCTTTCCATCTGAAGGCTCTTACATATTATCCAGATAATCAGACGGCTGCTATCTGGTCCCGGCGGGACGGCCGGCGATAAGGAGCTGGTGCACGCATCAGCGTGCCCGCCAGATCAGACGGAGACTGGCTGGTGTAATGGGGAAGCGGGCGAGATGCAGGACGCAGCTCAAAGTGGTGGGGGGGAAGCTGCCTGGGGCGGGGACTGATTTATTGCCATATACTGAAAAAGAACTTTGTATCAGTCAAAGGAAAAATCCGTTTGTTGCTGTCTGACAAATATAGGGCACTTTTTAATCATCTTCCTTGGTGAATTCTGCCACTGCGACTCCCTCGGGGGTGTAAACTGAAGAGCAAGCATTCACTGGACACTGGCTTGACTGGGGGCAGGGTGGAGATGGGGGGTGGGGGTGGCAGAGTCATTCTTCCTGCATCGCCCTACTGAGACGCTGCTATAGTTGTCCACCATGAAGGAGCTTCCCATACTGTACATTTTTCCCATTCCTGCCCGTCGTCCTGCTGTTCCCGCCAAGTTGGTGAGGGAGAGCTCTGAGGAAGGTGACGGAGGAAAGGAGATTATTACGTAAAGCCAGTCAGACACAGACTGAATACCGTCTGTTTGCTCTCTGGGTGGGTCACATGGTCACGCACACGCGCCGCCGTTTTGTGAGAACTCGCGAAGACGAGTTTCCTGGACTTTGCGGCTCAGGGCGAAAACGATTGGGCCGGAACCACATGGGTCATCGGGAGAAGAGCTTTGGGATGACTGAAGCAGGCTGAGCGCACAGCAGTGATATCCCCTACCCAGCCCTAACCTTAATCATAAATAACCAAACAAAATACAAGACTTTTTTTAGTTGTTTGATTGGAGTCACAGATATTTATGATATTGAGTTTCTTCCTTGTGGGGACCAAAAAAATGCCCCCCACAATGTTAAAATAACTACTTTATCACATTGTGGGGACATGACCCCCACGCACATGCACACGCACAGTGACAGGTTGCTAATCTCAGTATATGCAGTGTCATAATTACAAACTGGCCTATCACTGATTACCGATGATCCTTGTGATGTTTATTAAACCTGCAAAAACAACCTCTGCGGCGGCCTGAATGCTGAAACACGCAGCTCTTCAGAGCTGCCCGAGTCCACAGTGTTTGCTGAGAGGTTTTTAAGGTCCCAGCAGCCTTCTGCGTGATTCAGCCCTTAAAAGTATCATCCTGTATTTTTACACAAAAATCCCCCCAGGCTGCTTCCAGCTTCAGTTTCATTTCTCTCCCTTCATCTTCTAAGCCTTAAGTGTATGAACCTGAAGAGAGAAAGACACCTGTGTGTGTGTGTGTGTGTGTCTGGGGGGGGCCCACTAAAAGGCCATGCTGTGTTGCGTTTCAGCTCGTATCACCGACCGCTGCTTCAGGCATTTGTACCCAAAATTGGTTGGCATCACTTTGGGTTCTAGCAAGAGGTACAGAGTCAAATGTATGATGGCTTCTGATGTCTGAAACGTAGAGAAATAGTGAAAAGCCTGGATGAGGTATAGTGCACTGTAGAAATACCACTACACATTCAGTAGACATAAACTCTGAAGTGTTCTTTTTCCCCAGAAGTCTGTGGGCAACACCGTACCCCCCCCGCCCCCCCGCAGCATGAGCGGGGCGGAGATGCCGGCAGCTGCTGCTGCTGCTGCCAGGGGTCCTGGCTACTGTTCAGGATGTAAATCAGCAGCTGTTGTGAGCTGTTTGCCCGCCTGGCATCATCTGAGCCATGTGCTATCAACAGGTGGATTAACACGGAAAAAAGGGCAACCAAGCACTGATCCGATCCGATTCTCCCTCCAGATAGTGGGGCCACAGAGGAACCATTGTGGTATCGGCCATGTTAGATCATAAAAAGCCTAAATATGCTCTACTGTATCTGGAAAGGAGGTCATTACGGAAATGAAAGCATCAATCTCCTCTTCCTCATAATGTTATCTCTGCCCATTCAGAGCTTTTTGTTGGTGGTTAGTGCAAGGGGCAGGGTGGGGATGTCCTGGGGGGGGCCATACATGAAGCTGCGTGACTCCAGCACAATCAGTGGTGTTGCCCAATTTGCTGGGATACATCCAGATTTATTCATTGGCTCCCAGTGAATGTGGCATATAGCAAGTAGGAAGATTGTTTAGCCTGCATTAAACGTTTATTTAAATACAATGTATTGTCTTTATTTAAAAACTTTCCAGCCTGTGACTGTCACCCGATGGGGTCTGTCCACTACCAGCAGAGCGGGGGCGCCCTCTGCAACCCCAGCAACGGGCACTGCGTCTGCAAGCCCGGGGTGGGCGGGCTGCACTGCGACAGGTGCATGGTGGGATACTGGGGGTTCCTCCAGTTTGGCTGCAAAGCCTGCGCCTGTGCTGGAGACTGCGACCCCTTCACGGGAGACTGCGTGTTTGGGTGAGCCAGCCATAGCGCCGTAAGGATGCAGGGATGATTCCCGAAAGCGGGATGTGATCACCGTGCCTATTGGGCCGCAATATCACAGGCCTATGCGTGTCCCTTCCAGCCCACTCAGCTTAGACCTGGAGCATGACTACAGCCCGAGAGACAACGGCAGCAAGGGCAGGTCCATCTTCAGGACGGACGAGCTGTTCTCCGCCTTACACTACTCAGGTGGGGGCGCTGTTGAGGTCTTTTGGCGATTCACGTAAACACACGTACATCTGGAATATTTTGACATCAGAGTAACATTCAGACCTTGGTTGTAATTTAGTTAAGGGCGGGGGGAGGGTGCCTTTTTCAGGGAAACCCCAGAAATCACCGGTCCTTTGTGATCAGTTATCAGAGCTCCGCCCTGTGTGTGTCACACATCTCTATGTTCGCCCAGAGCGCCAGGCTCGGATCGGGGAGGCCTACGTGCCTTGTGTGTAGTCGCGTGTTGTTGGGTGTTCAATGACCCCGTTCACATTGTCCTTTGCAGAAAAGTGTGAATGCAAGGAGCAGGTCCTGAGCACGCCCAAGCGCTTCTGCTCCATGAAGTACGATTTCGGTGAGTTCTGCACACGGGACTCAGAACTGGATCGGTAAGATAACACTATACTGTACTGCAGACCCGGTTCTGTTCAGTGCCGTTACATGATTCTGGCATGGAACCACTCTCTGACCCTAATGGTTCTGGGCCCCTGGTCCAGGGCCGCTATCTGACCTATAACGGTTCTGGGCCCCTGGTACTGAGCTGCAATCTGAACCATAATAGTTCTGGGCCCTTAGTTCTGGGCCTCTCTCTGACCTCCAGCTGACCTGTTGCAGTGCTGAAAGTGAAGATCCTGTCGGCACACGACAAGGGCTCTCACGCCGAGGTGGAGGTGAAGGTGAAGAAGATCCTGACCCAGAACACCAAGATGAAGCTGCCACGGGGAAGGCTCACCCTGTACCCAGAGTCCTGGACGGCACGAGGATGCACCTGCCCCGTCCTCAACCCGGGTAGGGCCTCTCGGTCCCATCGCATGATGAGGATGACAATCTTGGCACCAGCAATAGGGAATTTCCCAGTTCCCATACAGGGGAACCTACATATACAGTATGCAGGACAAGAAGTATGGCCTGAGTATGGTAGGGTGGCCCCACCATGGATGAACATACAGTGGACCCAACCCTCCCCCCTCTCTGTTTGTTTGCTCAACTGTATAAATTAATATGCCACATAAACTGTCCATACAAACTACAGTGACCCATTCTGGGGTTTATACATATAACATATAGCATATAGCAGTTTTAATAAACAGGCATATTCATTGTTGATGTGAAGGCTGCATGCCTGTAATTATGAGCCTCCTCTCTGTCCCCTCCCCTCCCAGGGATGGAGTACTTGGTGACTGGGTATGAGGACCAGAGGAAGGGCCGGCTGGTGGTCAACATGAAGAGCTTCGCCAAGCCGTGGACAGCCACCCTGGGCCGTAAGGTGCTGCAGTTCCTGAACATGGACTGCAACCGGTAGAGGAGTACCTAGAGCAGAGAGAAAGAGAGAGAGAGAGAGAGAGAGAGAGGGAGGGAGAATGAGTGTGTGGAAGAAAGTGAGAACAAGAGACAGCAGTAGTTTTGTTTCTGTGCACTGAGTCTGGGGAGGAGGGGGGCAGACGGGCCGCCATTGTGGAACAAAAGTACACAGTGAGAGGGATTCTGGGAAAGGAAGTATCAGGGAAAAGATACAAACTGAAAAGTCGGCCAACTAGAGCTTGACGAGCAAGTCAGAGGCGGAGAGCTGCAGTGAGCAGGCTCAGTTATGGTCCCCCTCCCCCCGGGGGCCCACAGCACTCTTAGTAGCACTTTAGGACTGTACACCAAAAGGAGAACAGACAGACAGGCAGCAGACAAGCCCCCCCCCCCCAGCCTGGGAAAAATCTGCGAGAACTCCATAGGTGAGGGTCATCTGGCCACGTTTGGGTGTCAGCGGATGTCAGGGACGGTGGGAACTCGTGCGCCCCATTTTAAACGGCAAGTCCCCGGTGCACGGGAGCACGTGCCGGGGGGGGGGACAGCGCGGAGTCATCCTGCCGCATCATTAAGCCATAACCCTCACTGGTGTCTCCTTAGTGGTGGGTCCCCATTATTTTGTCTATAACTGATGCATTTGCAAAAAAAAAAAAAAAAAAAAAAGCAATGCAAAGGAATGTGCACTATTTAAAATGATAAGTTGTGATGCAAGTCTGAAGACACTGTCAGCCACTGAAACGTCCCGTGGGGAAGGAGAACAGTGATTTAATTTGTACAGAAAGTGTTAATTTTCCAGTTAAAGCATGAACTATCTTTTTCTGCTTAAAAGCCTTTTCAAACAAGGATGCTAGGACCCAATAAACATGAGGTGTAAAAATGAAATATACATATATATAACGGTGTGTGTATTCAGCTCCCTACTGATTTTCAAATACTCAGAGACTTTCAGAAACTTAACATTTAAGTTTATCGTATTACAATATTGTCTCAGAAGATAAGTGTGGGTGCCCTTGAGCCTGTTGAACACTCACATATATTTACAGAACATTTAGATCAGTATTTTGCTGGCAAACACACTTTAACCTTCACTGTTATGTTTATGGTATTTGTTGTTTGGTATTTTCACCTCTAAAAAAAAATCAAGTAACCTGTCACAATAAAGAACCACAGACTGAACGATTCTAGCGTTGTTTATTTTAATCGACCGCAAACTGATGTGAGCAGTAAACAGGAAAGAGAGTGACTAGTCAAAGAACGGAATTTTCCGGAAACCCAGGAACAAGCAACTTCACAAAAGCTGCGAGTCAAAGCTATGTGGTATTGGGAATGATGAGTCTTTTAGGGGAACGGAGGGTATCGTTTTTAGGTTGGGGGGGGGGGGGCACAGACAGCTTCAACGATGCCAAATTAAATTCAGTGTGAGAAATAGTGCAGCATGTTTGGCAGGTGATTAAAAGGGAAAGGAAGAAATCATTTTGTGAGAATCACCAATAACCCTGCTCACCTGACCTTTAGTGTCGAGACACGCACTCTCTCATAACGCTGTGATATTTTATCACTCGTACACACATCTTCCTATCACTCTTTCCGGGTGAGAAAACCAAGCTCATCTTTCTGGAGACGTTTTGTTCAGGTAAAACAAACAAGGAAATATTGTACAAACATCATAGAATATGAATCAAACGTAAAACGCTGATCACCGTTGAGAAACTCTCAACATTCGCTTGATAACTTTACCATAACCTAGACCGTTCTGAAAGGAAATTAATAGTGAAAGAGATGGCGAGGCCTGCTAAATATGAGATTTCTTCTTGTGTAAACAGGGAAACAGCAGCTGCAGTAAGGGGAAGGGAGCTGAGACCAGGCATCTGACATGAGATAAGGTGTCCCTAGCAGGAGTATACCAGGAGGGCTGAGAAAGACTGAAATGCAAATCTGGGCAGGAAAGTCTTGGCATGGCTTCAAGATTAAGCTCAGGGGTGTATTTTCTAGAATTAATTTTAAGAATTCTGCTCCTTCATACACAAAAATAACTAAAAAATTCATACTTAATCAGGACCAGCCAGTATAACTACACTATGATTCTCCTGCGGTGCAAAGTGTAAAGACTGGACCCATGAGCTGACCGAGACCGCCCACTTTAAATGTACAGATGAGCACTTTGCTAACATTTTTATTTAAGAAATGAAACTGATACTTTAACAAGGATGAGACTGGCATTTCTGAGACCCTTTCTGTCAAGGGTGACAGAAAAGGTGCAGCGTAGGGCCACAAGAATGATTCCTGGTCTTAGAGGAATGTCATACGAGGAAAGGTTATTTGAGCTAAAACTATTCAGCCTCAAGAAAAGGAGACTGAGGGGGGACATGATCCAGGTCTATAAGATTCTAACAGGTTTGGATGCTGTTCAACCGAATAGTTACTTCAGCATTAGTTCAAATAC